CACTTCTTCACTGTTGAGCGATTCCTCTTCAAAACACTGGCTTATGTTATTTGTGTATGTAGGGAAGAAAAAAAAACAGGAGGTCAAGAATGAACTGTCTCCTGAACAAACTTGGGCCGTTGTTGAAAGTCTTCTCTTCTGGTCTCCCTTTGGGTTGAGGCAGAGCTAGAAGCCTGCTCAAAAGAACCAGAGCTAGAAAAGAGGCTTCATCCAAGGACTCAAATCTACACAAGGGAGCCATTTCTGAGTTTCTCTTATTCTGAAGAGCTCCACTGAAAGCCCTTAATGTGCGACTGTTGCCCGCCTAAACCTAAACATGTTTCACGTAGCAGAAAATGACTGACGTGGCCTGAGAGAGAGAGACTCAATCAGAATTTATGAGTACTAACCCTTGGACTTTGCTTTGACGGATCATTTCAAACTCTGTGCTGATGGAGGGTAGAAACACAACTGTTTTGAGTGTTCACAGCCCAGTGCTGAGTGGCTGTAGCTGTGTCCTGTGTAAAACGTCTCTCCCTCATGTAGCCGGTCTTTGTTTGGATGTCCTTTACTCAGTCACAGCTCTACATACACTCACACATGAAGAGGCTTTAGTACGAAGCCTTCTTGTTTGTTTGAACAGGCTTTCATTTGAAAAGATTAATTGGCTGCCTCCGACTGCCTCGGCCGGACTAAACTAAATATTTAAGTGTTTGAGGTGCACGTGGTTGGCCCCTCAGCGATGGTCTCTACTTGACCTTGTTGTGTTTTTCTCAGCAAATACACCCTCAGCATGGCAACTCCCCATTCTTTATAGCAAAATAGAAAAAAATCACAAGTACACGATCGTATCACATGCGGGCGACAGCCTCAGGGAAGCAAAACACGAGCCAAGAATAACTGACCAGCATGTAATCAAGTCCAGTCCTTCTAGTTATTTTGTGCTTTATTTTGTTTTTGACTGCTTTTTAATGCAGTGTACACAATCCCTCTTTATTGCTTTCTTATGAACGCAATTCTGTCTCATTGCCAGGATAAAAAGGCAGATTACAAGGTATAGACGCCTGCTCAGGCTAAACAAGAGAAGAAGTGATCTTTGGTAAGTCCTGGAAAGATTTTCTTTGTTTGGTCAAAGGTACTTTTAAATGATGCTGCATTAAAGGACGCCCCAGGGACTCCCTCTTGAAACTCACCAACTGTAAATCTGACCCAAAATTACAAATTAGCAAGCACAAAAAACAGGTTAAACTCAGCTTTAGTCAAGTTTAAAGATGAAAGCGCTCTCATGTAACTGTAAAGAGGTGTTTATTGTATTTAGATTGATATAATAACTGTTATACCCCTGTCAGTGGTTGAATCTACCTGATGCCTTTAACCTCCACAATACAATAGAATTTTTTAGCTCCCACTGAAACAGTAATTTAACAGTAAATGGCTGAGACTTATCAAGACATAGAGGAAAAAAGCTGGTCCCAAAGGTTTACGCTCTAAGCTGTGATTGGCAGCTGCAGAATGTATTTCTTCATAAGAACCTCACGGCCACTGTTTAAAGGAGAAATAGGAAAAAAATCAACTGCCCAAAAATCTACTAGTGCCCTCTCGTGGTCATCAGTAGCCATTGGAAATACAATTAAATAAAAATGTAGAGCTAATAGCATCACAACTCTTTGTCTGTGTAACCATGCTTTTTTAATTTTAATGAAAAAAAATGAAAGTGGAAAAACTAATTTACATAGAGAAACAATACATTCATGTTCTAGCTAGTGAAATTACATGGATTCATCAATACATATATCCAGGTTTTATTTTAAGATTGAAGTAGTTTTAACCTTAAATGGTACAAAACTGAGAAGTAAACTGCCAGAGATAAAACAAAGAAGTCATCAAAAGCTAATAAAATGTGTACATTTCATATAAAACAGGCCTTTTACAGGGATCAAGTAACAAATCAATGGCGCTGTCACTGTTCGCTATATATGATGAGAAATCTGATGGATTTCTTGAAAAGACTGAAAATACAAAAGTTCTATAAACTCTAGCTTATAAATCCTGATCCATGAGACGTTGTACTTTATGATGGATAGAGATCATCAAACGAGAAAATGCAGTATCATTTTTACAGCACAGTCATTGTGTAGTGAGATATTTCATCTGGAAAGAAAACGGATAGATCCAGGCGACTGGTCCAGTGAGGCAGCATTCTGACCTGGACTAGTCCTCCTCCAGACTCTGACTGAAACGAAGGAGATCGCTGTGAGAGCACAAGTTAGAAATCCTCTTACGCTTTCCATGCAAAATCACGTGTTACACTCTAATGTGTAAATGAGCTTAGGATATTAGCCTGAATGGCCTTTAGGAAACCGGTTGGCTTTGGTTAAAAAAAAAACAACAGATGTGTCATTGATGAGTCTGATATCAGTGGAGGAGAGATGAGGAGAAGGGAACAAAATATCAGTAGCTTTCTCACCAAAATATCTGTTAATTCAATATGTATGTAGGGAATTGTAACCAAAAGGAGATGATCTGGTGAAAAAAACAGGGATTTGAACTGTCTTTTAAATTCTCTCCCGCTCCTGGGTTCACAGTAAAAGTGATGTATGGTGATGCAGGCAGTTTTACATGTCCCCAAAACACATCGTGGAGGCTATTCTGTTTTTACATTAGAAGGGAACAAGGATTGAAAACCCATGAATAGTTTGTCCTTCAGTCTGAGCTCAGTGTCCTCCTTCACAACACCAAAAACATTCAAATTGATGTTTGGAATAATGTTTCATTAACGCCTTTATGAGCCAGGCAATGAATGTAGCCTAAACTAGAGGATTTTAGCTCTAATGTAACAAAATGCATGATTATATATTAAATAGCTATTATTTTTATTATTATTATTATTATATAATGTCAACCTTTCCCAAACCTTACACATGACCTGTGAGGTCTGCAGAAAAATAAGCCAGGACCTTAGTCTGCATTTACATTAAAGGGACACTAGAGGGCAGGATCACCACACTAAACATTCATAAGTTCCTTTTGAACTTGAGAAACCTTACTTGTATACTGTAGGTTATATAAGATGGTTTTAGACAGCTATACCAAGCTGATCCAGAACCAATTCAGTCAGTAACCTTGAAGGCGGTGGTGGAGGAAGGATTCAGATCCTTTACAGTGGTGAATGTAACATTTACTCTGCAGCTGTGCCCATGTACAATTTTGAGCTGCTTGTACTTGGAGTATTTCCACCACATCTCACATAAAAAATACGGCACCTTTCACACTACTACAGTTATCTGATGGCTTGTGTTACCGATTACGTTCAGATTCAGATTGATAAAAAATAAAATGGACAAGTTATGGTGTATTATTAATAGCAATGTGATTAAGTGGTGTGTAACTAAAAACATTCTCACACGACCTCTAGTAACATGTCGTGACTTAAACATAAGAACATATTATGACTAAGGCTACAGTTATACACGTCATAATAATAATATTAAACACCCTGTCTGCTGACAGTCATCAACTCTTCTCTCTAGTTATCCTTGACCAGATGTACCCTGTAGAAACTCATAAGCATGACTAAGCATTTAACAGTCTAACTAGACATCCTATCTCCACTAAACATTTCTAATACATAAAGTATCTATCCAATTTCTATCTGGCTAAAAATACCTAACACAGCGATTAAAGCATTTCAGTTAATCCACCAGCTGCCTTCAGTTTTATAATTGAATAATATTTTTCACTGCAGAAAAGAGTCATTTTACATAGAGTACTTTTACTTTTGGTACTTTGTGTAATTTGGTGCTAATACTTATGTACCGAATTAAAAATTTGAATTTATGACCAATATAGAATCTATACGAGTATTTTTATTTCTGAATACTTACTCTACCACTTCTACTCCTAACAATTCCACAACCTAAACAGATTCCATTACAAAAATAGTGTGAACGCACAGAACTATTACCAGCAAAATGTACTAAAAAGTATTAAAAGTACATGTTACACAAATTCGCTGCAGTTAAAAGTATTTTCTTTTGAAATATAGTAAAGTATAGAATGGCAGAAAATGTAAGTGCTTCAAAATTGTAGTGAACTACAGTACTTAATTGAATGTACTTAGTTACAGTCCACCATTAAATTTACACAGTGAAAACTACTGAAATGATCCAGTCAGTAGTCCTACCCTCGGCCTCTTTTCTTAGACCTGAGAGAATGAGCCTTTTCATAACTCTCTAGTGTCCTCAACATCATCTTAACCGTGATATGAACTCTGTTAACCAAGGTTTTTGCTCTTTGATTCCAGGGTTATTATGTAGAATCGCTCACTCCAAATGGTTGTTTATTAAGCTAGAACTCTTTCAGCCTCTCCCTCAGTAAAAATTCTTCAAGGTCACATTTCCATGAGGAGCCACGGTGTGAGTCGCCTCCCTAAAGAGTTTGACAAGGGGACTGGCTCCTGCAGTGACAGACCTCCAGTACAGAGACAACTAAAACCAGCTGAGACGTATTAGATTACCAGCTCTCTCTTTTATTGAAAAATATACCTGTTATTTCAAAGACAGGAAAGTCAGGAAGGTAAATATATTAATATACTGTAAAACCAGAATAAAGACTAGGGAGAGAAAACACTACATATTTGCTATAACACTACAGCCAGTGAATAAAAAAAAAGAACATTCTACAGCTGAACTTGGAGCCAGATGTTTTTGCAGTCCTTAACTTTTTAACTTTCAAGCAGCCCTGGGGCAGAAAGTATTTGCAGATTCCTTTATACAGTTTCTTCTGGCCTACTTAGCAGTTTCACACAGAGAAACACAGCAAATGCCAGAAAGTTGAGGTAATTACAACAAAGTACTTCAGTAATTTTCCCATAATTCTCTATTTACTGCTTCCAAATTCTAACTCCACCAATCTGGGTTGCCAGATTGGTGGAGTTAGAAAGGTTTTAAAGCTTGCAAATAGAATCTGGCCACAGATGTGCTATTAAGTGTTAAAGCCGCTAACATTCATCTGATTCCCGCACTAGTACCCCATAGTCACACTGCAGCGAACAAAGGGTGTTTACTGTAATCATCAGTGGCACAAATGATATTTACATTGCTTGATTAAAACGGCAGCAGCAGATAAGGAGTATTTTTGTTCTTTCTTTCAAAGGCTCCAACAACGCCATGTTTCTCAGCGGATTAACAGAAGCAGACAACTTTACATTTGGTCCATTTGCATCAAAATGTGAGTACGATCTGACTAATCCTGCAGATTAGGGATGGGCAATGATTTTCAAATATTCAAATAGTCATTAAATTTTGCCAACACAGAGCGGAACTCTCAGTAATTTGGTGGGGTGATCTTCAAATAACTGCCGAATTGTCCCTAGCTAATATCGAATAGCATTTTAGCTTGAAATGCCCATCCCTAGTGCAGAGCTACAAACAAAGAAAATCCTGCTAATGTCACCCAGTGATAAGATAAACCTGGCAGTTCCCTCCTGTTTCATTTCAGAACTTCTTGCAGCCTGATCATGTAGACACGGTTCGAAACATTACAGTAACCTGAGGCAGAATCACACAGCATCCTGATTCTAAATACTACACACCCCTGCATCGGTGCCATAACAGGAACAGAAAGCTCCCATTTGTCAAATGTGGGAATTAGTTTTGAAATACTAAATAAAAAAGACATTATTCATGGATAGCAGACAGGAAAGACCTCCCCTTTCTGACTAATGTGTAACTAGAAGTAGCTGAGTGAAGCTGCATTGTAAAACCAAGTGAAGACAAAAAGCTAGAGAAACAGCCCACCTGTCTGTTCCTGGAGTAGCTCCAGCTGGCTGGGGGCCAGTAATCCAGCACATTTAATGAGTAGCCTGGGAAAGGCCAGATGATTGGTTGATTTAATCATCTGTTCTTACTGTGTGATTTGGGCTGTGTAGAGGAGGCCAGTATTATCACCTGTGGGGCCGGTTTAGGAGTTATTTCCTACTCTCACTGCCCCGAGATGTACCTGATTCCCCGTCTATTAAACAGCTCCCCATGTACATGTTTTTACAAATCCTTAGAGACGAGCTGGACACATCTATAGAGGAGCTGGATTTGGTGAGCCATAACTATTCATTTTGATACAACCATTCTTTCCTACTGTAGCAACTGCCTTTCAAACATTTCTCGTCTCTCTGCCGACCTGCTAATCTTACCAACCTCAGTGAAGATGTGGGACGAGATGTGACACCACAGCAAATACATAATTGGTCACAACTGCCACCTGTCCTGTCGCTTTAAAAAGTACAGGACACAGAACACATACAAAAAGTCTCGCTTTTCACAATTCACATTTTTGACACAAAAAAGTGATTTTATAAAACATTGCCATTATCACCTAATACAGCCTTACCGTGATAACGTTAGCTGTGATGTCGCTTAGACACTTATGTCTACTAGAGTCCAATAATTAAGTGCACTTTAGCCAACTACTAGGCAAAAAAGCTGGCTTCCTCTGTAGTACCATTAAGAAGTTTGTTAAAGAAATTAAACACCTTAGAAAAACCCAAATCAAAACATTTAAGACCCAGCAGCACACGTTACCACTACCCCAGCTGTCTGAGTTTAAAGAATGAGAGATGATGGTGAAATGCTAAACTACCCAACTCAAATCCAACAGGCTACTGTAGATACTGTATGTACAAAAAAAGCAGAAATCACATCTTAAAGTCAGAGAAATAAAATAAAAGTTATAACTGCTCTATCTTTTTAGTGTTTATGCCAAAACATTCTTACTGGCAAACGAAGCTCCATGATCACCCCGACACTCAGGGATTACAAAGCTACTGAGTTTCACTTGTCCTTTCTCTCGTCCTCCCTGTAGTACACGAGCACAGTAAGTTTGTGACCTCACGTGACCTTTGCTCACCTCATGCCTCTGAATGTGATATTCATATGATTGACAGTTGGTTTGCACTTCTCTAAGCTCATGGTCACCTTTCACTCCTTAAAACAAATGTGATTAAGTAGCTTGCTGATTTTTGCTCTTGGCTGATGCACCTTTGACAAGGACAGAGTCTGAATATAATAATGATTCTGTTCAATAATTTGGTGTTACAAAGACCTGCAACAAACCCAAACCTTTCCAGAGTGCCACTCAGCTCACATCTTATTGCTACAGCACAGTGTATAAGGCTTAGTTGGTTTTAGGTATGGTGTTGGATAACATGTACAGAGATTAGATTGATCTATAAAAGCTTCACACACACGTGGCCCTGCCTCTAAACCCCTCTTGTGTCTGTTCCAGGCTGTGACAGCCGTCCACAATGCCTGGTTTTCTCCATCTCCTTCATAGCAGTGATACCACATTTGTCTACACGCGAATCTCATCATCCTCCTCCTCCTCATCCATGAAGGTGAATTCTCTGTCATCCCCATGTGGTGAACTGTACTTTGCACTGTCTGTGTCGGCGTCATGGCGGTGGTACTGGGGTTTCTCCTCGGTGGCTGAACCAGAGCTGGACACAGAGCTGCTGTCCAGATTGTGGTGGTGTAGCTCCGGGGAGTAGGGGCCCACCAGGGCCTTCTCCTGGTCCTTTTTGCGGGGTGGCCTGACAGGGGCCTGATCCTCCACATAATCATCTATGTGGGGAATGTGAGAGGGTGACGCACCACCCTCACTACCTTTTCCTTCCTCATAGCCGAGGTCGTCCTCCTCCCAGCCTTTCTTTTCCATCACGCTTAAGATGTCCCCGAGCATGGAGGGCCCCAAGTCAACATGGAAGGACATAATAGACTCTGCGTGCTTCATCCCGCCTCCTTTAGGCATGGATTGAGGCAAATCTGTCAGTTCGCCAAAATTACGCTCATCAAACTCCGTGTCATGTGTCGCCATAGCTGCTGCTCCATTTATCTGCTTGCTTTCAATCTCTGTCAGTGTTTTCATGGGGCTGGAGGAAACACTCTTTGTCACTTGGTTTCCTCCTCTAGTAGCCTCATCATTTAGGTAAGGCAAGGATATGGCATTTTTCACAAAGCTGGCTGAACCACCGGAAGGCGCCATCATACTGTGGTCCGTACGGGCTACAGACTGAGAGCGTTTGCTACTTCTGAAAGTGCGGGACAGCAGCCCTGGTTTGGAGCTCTGCTTTGTTTCCAGCTCCCTGGGAGGTTCTCCTGAGTGGGAGCTAAGAAATGAAGTGTCCCCAAAGGCATCACCTCCTCGGCCCACGTGCATTGTGTGGCGGAAGTCTCCTAGTGGAGCACTGATCATCTCTGCGGTCAGGTCAATCCGAGAACGCCGCTTCGACTGGTTAGAGTTGCTCAGCTGCTTGAGAATAGGCATGTTGGCAGTGTCTTTCTTAGTCCACAGACAGAAACAAAACTGAGATGTCTTGTTGCTCAGAAGTTCCTCTTTGGTGATTGTATGAGATGTTGTCAAAGCAAGAGTAATTCCAGGTGTTTAATGTGTGCAGCCATTCTGGTCGTCCAGCTCAGGTTTCATCTTCCAGTTGAATCAGCCTATGAAGAAGAACAGAGTATTACCGCAGCATAATGGCAAAGAAAAGCATTCTGGTACAAAGCACCTTCATCTTACTAGAGTTGCAATGGTTTGAGACTTTCATAGTATGATAACCGGCTCAGAAAATATCAGGCTTTCACGTTATTATCAGCTACAACTACACAAATGCATTTCCTGAAGAAAATGCATGTGGATGCTGATTGCTGAAGGTGAGTGCATTCCCAAAACAGTGGAAGGCTCAATCCCAAAGTGAGAGTTAGAAATTAAATGCTTTAAAGTTCTAAAAGAAAAATAACTTTTTACAGACATCGGACAGATGTATTTTGAAGGCAGACCAACCTGTGTGTGTCACTGTGCAACATTGTAGTGCTTTGACTGTGTGACCGTTTCTGTGGTACCTTGTTAATTTGAATGTTTCTGTTTTATGCAATTAAAATGTGCCTCACCCTCTTTCACATGTTAGGCTGCATTAGCCAATAGAAGAGATCAGTAACAGTTCGTTGTGCCTATTGAATGGGTAGCATCACTCGGTGGTCAACACCACTGACTTTGGTATGGCAGGATCGGGGTTCACTTCCCCTTTCAAGGCACGAATTCCAGCCGTGGGTCCTTAGGCAAGGCCCTTAATGCCAACTGCCTAATGAGGCTCAGGGTAAGTCCACCTATGCTTTTTAGTCTATGTGCAATATTTCTGTATATTATGTCAGTATATTACATAATATATACATCTCTGTCTGCAGCTTGCTGGTTTCAGGATTCACATGAGTAAAAAAGCCAGTCAGAGTAATTAATCAAAACATCATGACTCCATGGCATTAGCAGCGAAATATACCTAAATTACCAAAGGTAAAAGGAGTCACTGTGCAGAATAATAATAGAATGTATTTCATGTTGATGTATATTATTTGATCATAATTTCTGGTGCATTATTGAGCCATCCCTGGTAGGCTAGTGGTTAAGGCGCAGCACTCTTGCCGCTGCGGCCCGGGTTCGAATCAGGGTTGCGTCAGGAAGGGCATCGGGCGTAAAACACGTGCCAAATGTAAACATGCGAGTCGTCAGTGTGACGATTCGCAATTTGATATAAATTGTAATTGCATACAACATTTCATTCTTTGTTCCAATCTGACCCATTTTTTCCACTGACAAACTTCCTAGTTTGATATATGGTGTTCTAAGACAGCTGTAAGGTGTGCATATTAGTGTCTTTATAGGTGTTTTCACTCTGCATTTGTATGCACCACGTTTGTACACAGGGTCAGAATGAACTGGTGCAATACTTTCACTTACTATATGATAATGAAGTTTTAGTAAAAACATCCAGTGTTTTATCTGTAATGCTTATGGAAAACATTGTCATAACTACATAGTGAATGACCTTCATTAGTCTCAAGTGAAACAGCAAGTTGATTGTACAGCTGGTAAATAGAATTATCTTTTAATTCACTGTGGATAAACGTGTAAGCAACTTTGAGTAGCCCATTGAGTTTTAACCCTATACATGTATGTATTGTCACAGATCCTGATTCTTCAAATGGCAAAAACAAGGCATCCATGGCTCTGGGGTTCATCCTTGAAGCTGCAAAGAAACCTGACTTTCCATCCAGGTACTCTATGCAGTCTTGTTTTGCTTTTGATATTAACTAAGTAACTTCCATGCACTTAAAACTACATCAGTGTTCAAGTGTATAGTAGTAAAACACTTCTCTAAAATATCAAATTAGGCTTCATAGTTGTAGTTACTTCTGCTTTTCAGACTGCATGTGGGTTTTCACTCATTTTAAGGGCAATTGTAGAATTTAAGAATATCTGTATAATACTGAAACACTGCACGTCTTAGTTTGATAACAGTTTTGTTTTTGGGCAAGTTTAAGAGTGAGTGGGGACAATGGACCTGAGATTGTGGTAAGGGAAGCTTCAGGAAGAAGTGTCCCCAACCAAAGAACATCTTAAAGTGAGCAGTTCTTCCTTATTTTGTTTGCCTACTTCAGTGGATTGTCCTCCAGTTTTTTTTAACGTAGTATTGAGATGGGCCAAAAGTTTACAGAACAAAATAACTTAGTCTATTTTGTATCTGTTTTCCCCACAGCCTGCCTCCAATCCAAGATGATCTTGACACTGAGGGATGGAACAACCCTTCCACAGGACACAGCTGTGGGAAATGGGAAGACTCAGTCCTGTCATGAGGATACTGAGATAAGAGAGACTGTTTGACACATTTTTCATAAAAACAACTTGTGGTCTAATCCCACAAAATATTTCAGTCTTCATAAATATTTTCATTTCAGGGGGCCCATTTTTCCAGCTGTGGATCATGGAGTACAGTGAAGAACTAAGAGACCTGATATCTTAGATGTTAAAAGCAGAACCGGACAAGTCATCTTTGGTATCCTCATGTGTGAACTTGATGTTGATATCCACAGAGTTGATATGCTTGGTGAAAGCCTCCACCTCCTTCTCTAATGCAGCCAAAGCCCTCCTTTGAGAAGGTGCTACCTGCCTCCTGGGTCCTGATTTTGTCTGTTGGAAGGCTTGTGGTGGGTTTCATCTTTCTCAAAGGTCCACATGTGATGGTTCAAAGACAGGTAACAACGCTCACCATTACTGGGCTATGATGACATTGTTGGCCATCGAAGGACTGAAACACAACCCAGGGGGATAAATATCTCCTGCTCAACACCAGCCGGACAGAACCAATGAAGTTTCTTGGATGAGAGGTGAAACGTCTTCTACCTAAAACCAGATGATTTTTTTTTCTTAAAAAAAAAAAAAGTAAAAATGCCGTAGGACGATGATCAGAATAGTTGCTAATTTACGATAGGTGTACAACAGATGACACTCAGGCGAGCCAGCAAATTTGCGCGTGCATTTCTGGGGTCAGATTGGGATCGGTGTGAATCCTTTTTTGAACAGACAATGGGGAAAATTATTTATATAGCACAGTTTATGACAGACATTTATACAATGGCACATTTTTATTGTTTGGGATTAAACAATGCACAGGGGGATGGTGTTCTTGAAGGTTTTAATTTTTGTTAAACTTGTGCTGCTGATTCTTAATTTCTTTTCTGTTGAATGTAGTTTGGTGATTTCAGCCTCCTCCTCTTAGCCATCTGTCTGCTGCATGTGGCGCCCATTGTGGAGTCTGACAGGCAACTGGGGAAGAAAGGTGTGCATGCATTGTGTTTCTATCTTTATACTGGTAATAAGCAAAGGATGCATGGTACGATAACCATCAAGTTTCATACCATGATATACTGTGAAACCGGCATACCGCTGCAGCTCTGCTTCAGAGCAGTTGTTTTGCTGTTCACCATGACAAAAACAAGTTCTCCTTCAAATATTGCTGTATAATTTTTCAGCTACATTTTTGAGCTCTTTATAAAAACTCTACAGGCTGCTGTCACATTCAGTTTTTCAAGTGGATACACAGTGTCCACTATCACTGCTGTGCTTTAGTTCCCATTTTGGCCCCTAACTGTTACATAACCAGCAAGCCAACAGGATACTGTAAGCTAGAACTATTCAAATGGGCCGGAATCAAGGGAAAAGGGGGGGGAAAGAATGAAGTAGAACATTTCTTCAGCGTGGATTGACTTACTGCATAACTCATTAAGACCTAATCTGCTACATTCTGTTCTAAACCTAGAGTCAAGAGAGAAAATTCTTCCACTGCTAGTTATCTGTGTTTTTCTCTCAGTTTTGGCCTTTGTCCCTCTAACCTAGAAGACAGCATTTGAGCACCACTACCAGAATATCTTGTTCTGTTTATTGCTGCCTCAGTTTCTGTTTTCACTGAACCCACATCAGTGAAAACTCCCAGTACATTTGGAAACAGCCATAAGATAGATAAAAGCCTTTTTTATGTAAGGAAAGCAAGGGAGTTCTTGATGCAACAGAAATCATGTTCACACTTAAACCAATTTTCTTTGCCTCAATAACCTGATATTATGCCTCATTCAGGCAATTAAAGCCAACTCATGCTTTCCATGTCCACGTGTCTGTACACGAGCTCAAGTCTGCAAGAGCCCGCATGCAGCCTGAGAGGCAGCAGTGGGTCAAGCTTTGAAACAGGACCTCAAAAACACCCACTTATGTGAGTCCACTAGCTCCATGTGTTATTGGCATTAACAAGAGGTTTGATTGTTTTAGCCAGACAGCTAGCCCATCATTCTCAGTTTTGAAACTGGAGCTGAACCCACGCTCTAGGCAGTATGCGTATCACCCCCACCCCGCAACGTCACCCGTGAAAACATTTGCATCTCAGACAAAAATCTATTCAAATGGAAGGGCGAACAGGGGGCAGCCTGATAGATGAAAAATGTAGGGTTGCAGAGATATACCAGTTTCATGGTATATCATGGGATGAAAATTGTCATACCATGTGATCGTCACTTTTGGCTTTTCCCATCAGGGGTCGGTCGCCATGCCATGTTGACATTTGGCACGTGTTTTACACTGGATGCCCTTCCTGATGCATATGCAGCAGAACAACTCCATCATCCACCAACATGGAAATTTAAAGCAGCAGTGTTGAGGTTACTTTGAATCACCCAACCACCTTCGACACCATCCCTCTGTGCAGATCAAAGTATGTTTATTACTTTAATACTGAACATTAAAATCTGTCAGCATATAAATGCCAGTCTTAAAACACGCTATGGAAAAAGTTTTTAATAATTGTCTGTCTGTTCGCTGATCTCTGACTTACAACAGGACACTCACTTATTTTGATCTGACCCCAGAAAAACACACACACACACTTTCCTGGCTCACAAACATGTTCGTGTCTGTCTATGCTGTCATACAGTAAAGTAGAAACTATTGTGACCATTGTTTAGAGCACTGTGACAGCATTTCTCACTGCTGTTTTATAAACTGGTCAATTAACGGAGAAAATAATCAGCAGTTTAATCACTAATGAAAACAACAGTTGCATTTGAACAGTTGCATCTCACGCTGCAGCTAGAATTCCATTATACCAAACTATTTTGGTCCAGTATGTTAGGTATTTTTAGCCAGATAGAAATTGGATAGATACTTTATGTATTAGAAATGTTTAGTGGAGATAGGATGTCTAGTTAGACTGTTAAATGCTTAGTCATGCTTATGAGTTTCTACAGGGTACATCTGGTCAAGGATAACTAGAGAGAAGAGTTGATGACTGTCAGCAGACAGGATGTTTAATATTATTATTATGACGTGTAGAACTGTAGCCTTAGCCATAATATGTTCTTATGTTTAAGTCACGACATGTTACTAGAGGTCGTGTGAGAATGTTTTTAGCTACACACCACTTAATCAACAGACACACACATTGATTTACTTCATGTTTTGACTACTGCTATGACCAGCTGCAAAGCTGGCAACAGATGTCTCGGTTGACGTTTCTGTGTAGTATGGGGCTAGCCCAACCGAGGGGATATAATGTATAGGCCTGGTGGGTTCAGGGTCTTTCATCTTACATCTGCCTGCGTGCAGTACGGAGGTGCAAGATACCTGAGCGTGCAATGTTAATTTTACCTGTGATCCTTTGAATAAATCAGCACTGTTTTGAAGTTACTTGGACTGCCTCATCTCTCAGAGTTGGCAATGGTAACAAGAACCATACCCTACAAGTACCTTTGTCTTGTTGGCCGGCCTGGTAAAAATCCTTTGTCCTGCTGACAGCCAGACAGCTTTTCTCACGTCTCGCTTTAAGTGTGGATGGGGTCACAATTCAGTAGTGCTTACGTCTCGCTTCCAGCGTGTTTTACCTGTAATGAAATAATATATTATAGTATAACATTTTTAAGCATTGAGTAGCCCACTTCTACATTTAATACTTTAATTATAACACTGAATTTTAGTCAATGCAGGACTTTTACTTGTAACAGAGTAGACGATGTTTACTTAAGTAAAAGATATGAATACTTCCTCTACTACTGGTGCTAGCATGCAAGCTAACATGCTTTAGTAACCTGCTATGTATTTTTATCATGTCTGTAATACTGTTAATTCTTTAGGGTCAATCTAGTGCTGCAGTCCAACTCAACTGGCACAGTCACCTGCAATTAAACAAAGAGACCCTTCTGTTTTCATCCCTTTGAGGGTGGTTATGGCTGATAATAACAGTAACTGTGTAATACAGTGAAACCGTGATATTTTCTGAGATGGTTATCATACTGTGAAAATCTTGTATCGCTGCAACCCTAGCCTTGTGCAGTAGCCAGTTAGCATCTGCTGCACAAAAGGCTGCTGAATGTATGACTGACAACTCAACTGGTATGTTCCTTTCTGCTGCCCCAGGTTTTGTATTTCTCTATGGCAACATCGGAGCATAGTGCGGGCTACCAAGCACGCTTCTTGACTCCAACCTAGCTGGAGTCAGAGAGGAAAAACTTCATCTCCTTCATGGAGAGATCAGCTCATTCAGAGGGATTAACCCTTCCTGGTGGCCAGATGCAAGGCACTAAGACAATTGCCACAGTGCTATATAGCTGAAGGGGAACACTTTTGATGTGCCAAGTCACTAGAGGACATTCAACCTCAGCATAAAAGATGTCAGCAGGTGCTCAAATATCAAAAGGTGCAACCCTCACACCTTAAGCCATGCTGGGAAATGACCCATTTTATGACTTTGGGGGCCCCTGGGAACAGTTTCAAAGTTTCATTGTAGGCAGGACAAAAGATTAACTATGACCCGCGGGCTGTCCTTTCATATTCAGCTCTAGCCTTTCAGTACTTTTGAAAAGATCAGTTAAGAAAATCAGTGTCATGTACTTTGCTATTTCAAACTACTGTAAAACCCTACAAACTGCTTCAAAGTTCTGCATGTAAATGTGTAGCTCTATTAAATGATCACATATAAAAGAAATGCGTGTTTTCCAGTTATTAAAAAAAAACCCTACCCATTCTTTCACAAAATTTAGCCCCTGTTTATATCTTTTAAATACAATGTCTGATTATATTCTAGATCACAGAAAAAAAAAATAACATGCAGAATTCTGGCATCTCAGGAAAAATCAGATTTTGTGAATGTTGGAAAAATAATGTATAACTTCCTTGTGAACAAATTAAACTAAAGATCTTCTTTCACATCAGTGTCTAGACAGATAGAAAAACACCACCATAGCACTGTGATTGCTCACGAGATGAGTCTGGCCCATATCTCACACTTAATTCAGCTGTGGGAAAAATTCCACCTCGGCACTCTTCTCCGGTCTCACGTGCCTAAACAGATTACCATGACACAGCTACATTACAGACATAAAAACTTGCACATTAGCTGAACATATTTGTGCTACACGACTAGATATGCACAAAGAGGTAATACAGATAATGGTGTTTGTTTTAGTTGAGATTTATTGCCTCAGTCATCGTACCAGCCAGTGACAAAGTCCTTATGTAACCGAGCACTCAAAGTGCCACATGACTTCAGCTCAAACTGAGACAAGTGGTGACAGGGCCATGAATGATTAAGAGCATCTTATGATGCCGGCAGACTCTGGTGTGCACAGAATGACATCACAACCACCACCATGCTCAGTGTTCAGCCTCGCTCGTGTAATCCGCAGATCACAGGTGCCCTACAATCCTCCACTTTCCCTGGCTATTTTGTCTACTTCCACTCACTGAACAGAAGAAAGACGCTTTGGACCAAGTTAAACCAACAGGCACATGCTGACTGCAAGAGTTTCTGGTTTTATTTTTGACTGCATTTAATTTTTTTTTAAAAAGGAATCAGAGTCTATCACTTATTCACAAGATGGTATCGTCAATAATGCACAATTAAATGTGCCAAAGAATGGGAGAGCATTCATATGGAAGCTCAGTATATGAGTTAAATGATGTTTACTAATTATTTGGCCCCAAACAGGGGCAGTGTCAGGCCATGCCATCATAAATCTTCAGAGCCCCACAATAAGTAGCACCATTTTCCAGACCTAAGTTACCCTTAACTTAACTTACCTAACACAAAGCATCCCTGAATCCTAACATCACCCAAGCAAAGAGCAGATACATGGCTTGACACACAGCATCTGCATTGTATTTGCTCAGGTTAAGCAGTGGCTGGTCCAGCTGGCTTGTAATGGCAGTCACCTCTGAGAGCCGGGTCCGCTCCAACCACTGACACTGTTCTATCGAGATGGCCTAACAAAAGAAGACTATTAACGAGTCCATTGAGTCTGTAACTATATTATCACCAACACCAATACAAGTTCTGTGTGGGAATGAAGGTAAATCTACAGGGTCATCAAGTGAGCATCCTCTCACTAACTGTTGTGTTGTTGAGTTGGGCCCACAACACCATGTCGTGTTGTTGAGTTGGGCCCACAACACCGGGAAGGACCAAACTGTGTGTCCCAGTGTCCCAGAACCTCCCCCTCTTTGCCTGCCCCCTCACAGCCAACACAATCCTTCATTTAACAGGACCCTACATATTGACTAGCAAGTTAACTTGACATCTACAGAATGAAATGTGAATTTAATTTAGAAGAATATGCTTCTCCAGTTCCAGATTAACAACTTTATCAAGCACCTCATAAAAACCAAAATAAGGTCAGTAAATTGTACCCAAACCGCATGTTTACTAACGCTGCCAGGCTTGTTACTCCCAGCTTGGATTTTGCTATGACTTCTTATATTCCATATCCAGTTCCACAATTTCATTTGGACAAATGTTTTAATACTCACTTTCACATAAAACTCTTGCCTAGTCTGGCTGCAAGTACTCACTTTCTTATTTTAAAGATGTAAAGCTGAACAGAGACTTTCCTGTCTGAGCAGTAAGAAAACCTGCTTTGTTTAACCTTGAATGAGTCCAAATCTCCTCCATTGTTCAATCCCACTGTTTGCAACATTAGCATGCAAATTAATATACAAGTTAGCCAACAACACTGATGACATTGCTAATCAAATAATAAATGGAGCTGCAAGAATGGAAAGTTCCAAACTCTGACAAAGAAGGTCAGCCAATGTCATCTGCCCCTACTTTGTGAGGCCACAACCTCAAGACCAAACATCTGATTCCCACAGGGGGAGAGGACAATACATCAACTGTGTATGTATCTGATTCCACCTCACATCTTGTAGCTATAGTCACGGTGTGAGCTCATTAGCAAAGCCTCCTTCTCACCTCACTGTGCTTTTCCATGTGCCTCAAAGATCTCTCTACTTACTGGCCTTAACTAAGTGGATAGATAAAAAAAGATTAAAAAAAATACACTGTTTATATAGCAGACAAACTTAGCTCTGCTTCGTCTAACACCTGGAAAGTGAATCAGAAGACGGTTTAAAAGTGTGTGAGTTATACAGCAACATAAGACCTTTGCTGTGGGTATCTACTGTAATGTAATGACCTATTACCAACAAATAACCCTGTGCAGTAATCTGCTCTTTCTCCATTCATAGACCCTGGTACTGCCTGCCACAGAGGGAACCAGTTCGTCCTGTTCAGCTTCATATCTAGCCACACAGCTTGAGGGCTAAACCTCAGTGACAAATGGCAGAAATATCTGGAACACAAATAATGAAGAGGGTGCATAGCCTCACCACCCATGTGTCGAAGAACATACCTGTTTTACAAAGGTGTAACTCTAACTGTAAGAAAAGTATGATTCAGCAGCAAACACATCCAACGCATGTAAATACACACTTAATTCAACACTACCACAGCATGGAGTTTCAGAGAGAAGCCAGTATTAACAATACAAGGTGGACTCTGGCCTGTAGCTGCTCCTGTACTGATGCAGATGACCAGAAGTTAGTAGGTGGATCTTGAATTAAGTTTTTTTTTCTGATTCCAAGGTTCTGAAAATGCATGCATTCTGTGAAAAACATTAAATGTAAGCCTTATTTGATCAAATCTCCTCAGGGCCCTTCAAATACCTTAAGTAGCAAAATCCTCCATGTCAACAGGTTCACATGACGCACAGGAACTATTAAATTAAACTCCACACCCTAAAGAGTTCCAGTTACGCAAGTATCTACAACACCAGTTTGTCCTTAATAATGTGGAAAAAACACTTAATTTGTGGTTACATGTGTAAAAATAAAGTTTATAGCCTGTGGGAGTCCTGTTATGCCACACAACCATGCACCATGGAAGCTAATAAAGCTCCAATAAAGAGAGAAGCAGAGATTAGTATTAAATTACTATGAAAAAGTGCATCATGGTTGTCATGTGAGCAACTGTTCAAATATTCATATATGGCAAAGGTTGACTTAAGTACATTTAAAAGCAGTGGCAATATAGCTACATGAAGAAACCCTAACTATAGTAGAGGATGCTCACCCTGAAATGTTGAACTGCAGAACACTGACAACACTTTTCATCTACATGTTTAAAGGTTCTAGGAGATACGTTCAGACTGCTTAGCAGGGGAAATATACCTACATCAGCAGGACTGCTGACCCAGTACTACAGGCCCTATGTGCGTTTGTGTGTTAACTGTAGTACTGTAGTGCCTCCAGGGCCCCAATGCTGCACTGGCAGAAACAAAACCAGGATTAAAAGCAGCACATTCGACATGAACAAATAAAACCAGCATGCCTGGGCCGGCCCTCTGTGCTGTGCAGTTGGCGCTCAGGGCAGCAAAAACCACACCTCCGTCCACCCAAAAAACATAAGCAAACCAACCTCCCACTGCCCCACACTCTGCCCTCCTCTATCTGACTCCAAAATCCATCTTCTACTTCTGGTGTGTTGCATAAGCTCCTATTACAACCCCAACACACACTGCAACATGATCATCACATGACTATGCTGAATGATTTTTACAAAAATCTTTACAAATCCTGGTATCCAGAAACAGGGGACAAACTAGTGGAGCAACATTCCCACTGGAGTTTTTGTAAAAAGAAAGGCACAGATGGAAGCACTGAAGAGGAACACACCCTATAGGGGTGATTGAGTGTACTCAGTCATTGCAGCACAGTGACAGACGCTCTTTCACTGTCCCCTGCATGAAATGTACCCAAACCCTCATTACGCCTACAGTGGGGGGATTCTACAGTACTGTGTGTGTGTACATGCATATCTGATTAATCACAGGAATTCACCTCATCAGTCTCACGCCTGGTATCAGAGTGCAGGATCTGAGCCAGGCAGTTGAAATAACCGTTCAATAGCTGCTGGACCACAAAACATCAGAATTTCCACTGAGGATCATATTAACAAGACAGGGAACACTAAATACTCCCTTACAAAAGACATGCCAGAGGCTTACACTAGGGTTGCACAATAAATCACTTTGTGAGTGTAGTTTAGACTCCTGTGCAATCTCAGTCTCACGTGACAATGATTCTGCCATGTCATGCCCAAGGACGCTTCGACACGTGGACTGGAGGCACCAAGATTCGAACCTTCAACCTTCTGGTTGGGAGACGACTGCTCTACCCACTACACCACTGTCGCCTCCTCCTTGTATTTAACCAATGACTGCAAAGTGATTTATTTCTGCCTTAAGTTCTATTCGGCACTAGGTGTACAGGGCAGGCAGCGCAACATTTTAAAAATAGTTGCAGGAGGACACAGAATATCTTTCACGGTGTCTACAGCTTATCACGTGATGCAGCACATTCCTGATTGGTTAACGCAACTCAGTGAAACACATAGTCACACACACAAACTTTGATGAAAGGAGGAGGCACCTCAGTGTGACTGGAAGATAAGCTACCGTTTTCAGCTTTGAGTCATCTTCTCAATGGCTCCTGGCCTCTATATCAGCAGCCTCCCCGCTGAAGTGAAACACACAAAACAGCTTTAAAGGCCTCAGGCAACGAAACCTCACTGACAAGTTGAGTTAATAAAAACCCCCATGGTGCTAACTTTAATGACACCAACGGCAGACCACAAAGCACTTGCTGACAAAAGAGAACATGCAGGGCCACAACATGGCCACTTCAACCTGATAACAGCAATTCACAACAGCTGACAAGCTGAGAAACTCCAGAACAGGATGGAGATAAAGACAGGCACGGACACACGGCTCCTGAACTCGTAAAGCACATTGTTAACATAATTGCATCCTGGCTTGATTTACCTACATCCATTGTGATTTGGTTTGTGCTGCTTGTGAGGAGGTCACGGTTGCTGTGTGTGAATGTGTGTGTGAGCTTTTCCTAAATGGCTCTTCAGGAAATGTCCAACTAAGCACCCAAGGATTGATTACATCTCAGCAGCTCAACTCACTGAGACAGTTCATCAATATGCATGCTATAATCTAATACAGGCTAATTATGCACACAGCAGCTAAGTTCACTCCCATTTAACTCAAATAAGCTCTAAGATGGGTATGACACAATTAGTCAATCAACAACAAACAAAAATTGAATGGCAACTTCTGATTTTTTGTTTTGTTTTTGGAAAACCATAAATTAAGACAATAATCATTAGATGTAGCCCTATACAAGAAAACAACTGACAACATAAAAGCCATATCTTAACATCATGTAATACATGGCTGTTTTGAAACTGGCCACATGATCAAATTTCCTAAGAGTGTTCAGGAATCACCACCAGATTATATTAAGAAACCGCATCAGACACCTTGTGCCTCCAGGCAAGTTTTCATACTGTGGCTGTTTACATGTGTATGACCCAAGCTTAAAGTCCATCAACAGTTCTCAGTCAAATAGGTTCAAGGGTCACAAGCAAGAGTTGGCCTCAGTTTACTGTTGCACGGACATACAGTTCTAAAACAAACACACCCTGTTGGTTTCCAATTGGCAGCAAAAATTTCTCTGTAACCGAGGAACCAACAATGTCACAAATCGCAACAGAGGAGAAAGAACAAAGCAGTACAGAGGAAGAGCAGAGCCAAACCCTTCTGGCACACCCAAACCACATGCAGGTTTATGTAAAGGACAACAGAAAACACAAACACAGGATCCCAAAGGCTGAACTACATGAACAACACCTGCTATTTACAGTGAATCATATTGATTTGATACAAAAAGACCAAGGCCCAAGATGATAATAAGATGGTGTAACCTTCCAGTACAGTTCATTCACAAGACTGGATTTCTGACTGGGAAATGTCCTCGAGAGGCTCAGGCAGGAAGATGTGTTGGTCTTTATTCATAAAAGAACCACTAATTCTCACAGGATCATCTCACAACCATGGTGACGCAATATTTCACAGGACTGTTCCCAGCTCCCTGAACTAGTTTCTCAGTGTGAATTTATCACCTCAAGGGCACAGTCACACCAACAGCCTTTCTTTGTTGTCTCAGTAGGCCTGGACCACAATGACCAACTGCAAGCCACCAGTCATGTGTGTTTTCAATATATGACCCACACAAGCCAACATATATTGCACAACCAAATTCCTTATTGCGTTAGTGACTAAGGATGGAGGAGGGAAGCTTAATGCAATCATACGTGGTTAAAACTGTCTATTCCACAGAAGCCTGCATCAGCGCTGCTCCAGATGACAGAGCTGAGGGAGGAGTAACTGCACTCAGGGGCTGGATTATAATAGATATGTTTCACAAAGAAACACAGGCCCACTTGGTGCTGGGAATCCAACTTCAACACTTTTATGGCATCGATCAAATTACTTCAACACCACTGCGTACTGAAAAATGCTTTTTAAATTTTTATTGAATTTTGATGTTAATGATAACAGAACTTAGGGTTATGGTAAATAGCTTTACTTTTTATATTGTGAAACTGCGTGGAATGCACAAAAATGTAAAAGAATGGAAAAATAAAATTAATGATCTTTACGACTGTACATATACACACAATTGATTTTATAAAATTTATATTGAAAGATTATTATTTAGGAACCGGTATCAAAGTCAGGGTACCAGTTTTGAAAACTCTGGAATGATACTAAGGCCTGTGTCCACTGACTGTTTTTCATTTACACAACCCAGCTGATACAGTATCTCTTAAATAAATAGTCATCAGCTGCTGAGTAGGAGATTTTCTACTTTGTAAAATTACACTGAGATGACAATTTGGCTGTTTAAAGGGGCGTTTTCAGGATTTTCATTAATAAGTATAATTTGGATATTATGTCAATCTGGCTCATAGTCTCATACTCATGGTCTCAACTCAGTGCAAGTATCCTAAAGTCTACCAAAAACTTTAAATTCAGCAGAAATTTTGACTGAGTTTGACTTTAGTAAACACAGAAAGAAGTCTCTCAGCACCCTCAACTCCTCCCCATTCTCTACACCCAGACTAAAAGACATAAAAGACAAGTGTAAAAGAATAAGACCTAGGTATATTGGAATTGCTTCTCATCCCCGACGGTGGTTATTAGCAAACCACCAAGTTACCAAACACAACAATTACAACAAAGCTATGACATGTTCCAAAATCCCTGTGATCACATACTGAAGAGGATACGAGTTGGCCAGGTGTGTCACCTGATGACAGATGAAGGTCTGCACCGAACTGGTAGAATACAATGTGGAAACAACTCACCAGCTGGCCATATTCTGCTTGACTGGAACTGCCTTTATCACAGACATGAGAATTATCAAAACTGGTTTCACAGCTTTAAACAATGCAATTTAGGACAAAGATACCTACATGTGCTGCAGGAGTGATGATGATGTTATGCTATGAAATAAAAATTGTATTATTTTATGTGGTATTTTAAAGCACACGTTTAGTGTGAGTGGGCTGTGGTGTCAAAATGTCATGGAAGCTGTCAAGAAGGGAGTGTTACAGCTCCAACAAGGAGTGTTATTACACTCTTTACAGAAAACTATTCCTGTTGAACTGGTTCCTTTCCTCCACAATAGTCACACTACCCTCATAGTAACCAAAACAGAGAGAGATCAGTGTGATCAAGTGGAAGGTGCACACAGATCTTTGCACACACAAAAAAAGACAACAGTGGTCCCAGTTTCTGGAAACAGCCGTGACATGTTATGAAATGGGACGATAAAGGGCCTATGGTGTCACTGTGCTAAAATCAGCTAAAGTTTCTGACTGACTGACATAGTACTGAAGCCTTAATTTTCAGGCAGGTTGTGTTCAGAAACACATCACAGTCTTGACCTCTCTAACTATTCAACGCTTAATACTAACCTTCTAGTTAAAAGAAATCAGCTTAAGGCTCTAAACCAGTGGTTCCTTACCTGGGAGGTGGGGAACTCACAAGGGCTCACAAGAGAAATCACAGGACTGCAAAATGATTAACAGGACAGAGAAACAGAAAAAATGTTTCTGTTATAAAAATTATCTTGTGAATCACTGGCAATTTTAAATTTTAAAAATCTGTCTTTTGTTGACCCTGTCATATACCATCAACATGTTTAACAAAGGGTGAGGGGTTTGCCAGCAAAAATCTTTGTTACAAGGGACCACAAAAAGAACTGAACTAAATGATGGCACTTTAAAAGGGGACCTTTTGTCTTACAGATACTGATTGATGGACTTCTGGTTCATTTGTTTCTCTTGTTTGTAGTTGGACATAATGTTTAATTATGCTTCAATATAAAGCCTGTGCAAAGACAACTCAAACACCCTCAGCGTGATTTCTCTTCAAAGTTCAAAGACCATGCTGCTTTCTCTGCAGGCACAGTGAATCCTTTAATTCTCTGAGACAAAACAACTCTACTCAGGGAGTTCAACATAAGCCTCAATACCTTCCAGTATCAACAGCTGAAAAAACTACTTTACTTTTCAGTGATTACTACTCAACAGCAATTGCAAGGCTTCCACAGCTTCAGGGCTCTGAGTACATCATCACTGAAACACTTCCAAGATAGCATAATATTCCATTATGGGATATTTTCCTACATGTTATAGCTGCCATGTTGAGTACGTGTCAGAAGTTAATAGTGATGACTAAAAAAGAAGTTTTGCTCTGGTCACACTGTTTTGTTTTTGGTGGGTGGTTTTTCCCTCCTTTCTCAATAATTGCATCTAACTCCCTCAGAATAATTCAAGACACTCTGTCCTCATCCTCTGCCGGCCTCCTGAGGAGCTTTAGACAAAGGTGGGTGGATTACTGAGGCTGCAAACAATTTACACAGGCATTTCCTGCAGTATGAGAAGCAACAGGAACATCCAAGATACTGTAAACCTCCATGTACTATGGATTGCAGACACACTAAAACAATACAGAGTCAGTGGTGATTCAAGTGGAAATGAGTTACCCTCCACTTTAACTAACTGCGTGTAAAACTGCCTGAAGTTAGTGCAAAGTAGTCCAACTGCCTCTCCACATGCCTCCCTAGTGCACGCCCTCTTTCCAGTATAAAACTGTAATGACCTCAGCAGAGCTGGAGTCGGGCAGGTAGCCAGCTTCCTCCTTAAGCAGCAGCAGTATCCTCCGGAGCAAACAGAAATAACCTCCACTGCCAAAAAAGAAGCAGTCAGAGATGATGTGTGCACACACACACACACACACACACACACACACACACATACTAGCCCTACCCTTTGACCTGCACTGCACACAATAGGTCTTGATAGAGAGATATGTGCCTGGCAGCTCCAGAGAAGCTGAACACTGAAAGGCCTAGAGCGTGCGCAATAACGCACCACTTCTGACACTGAAAAAGACAGAAAAGCAAGAAGACGCTGAGAAAAGCAGTGCTGCTGGCAGGACTGGTGATCAGACAGAATCTGACCTTGGCCCAAACCCTCTCAGTCAACTTCAACCACACACAGTCAAGCATTAGTTTTCCAGCATCCTTATTTCTCCTAACAGTGTTGGACAAATTACTCATCAAGCAAAAGGACAAATAGTGGCCAATAGCAGGGTTACTGTTGGGAGTGGTCGTGTATATACAGGGAGGTCACAGGGCAACATTTGTACAAAGACAACACCAAAGCCAAGCTCATTAGTCAACATGTCCTCCTACTTTTGTCCAGACTGAGAATTTATCATGAACAAAGATTTGATTACTGATGATGAGTGAGGAATAATGAAACCAACTACTATAAAATGGACCTGCAGGCTTTACGGTCAGCATAGTTAAAGTTAAGCACACAGCATACAGCCTTCAATTAGAGCTTGATGAGTAAGGCTGGATGGGTATTTAGCGACAGTAGGCATTCTAGAGTTAATTAACCATTTCATCTGGCATGATGACCATGAGAGACAAGTGCCAGGTCTGTAAACACAAACAGGAATGACTCACTAAACAAGCAGGAAGCTGGACAAATTTGGGAGTGTGAGATGAAACAGAAGTTTCTGTGTAGTTTGTTCAGCTCCTAGTAGAGTCCCAGAGATTAAACTGTGTGCCCCCACTGCACAGTATTAATGTTACATAACTCCCTCAGCAGAGAACTGATGCTTCTAAGTCCATCTGCCTGCTCAAATTAAACCATATCTGGTCCTATAGCTGAAAATAGGTATTTGGGACACTTATTTCAAACTCTGGAACCTAATTCCTACCACTGGATATCTAGAAACAGAATACGTTTTTATTTTAATGTGTGAGCCCAGAGGGGCTCCCAAATGTTAAGTAGTTTACGTTCACTGTTATTTAAGTCAATTAATGACTCCCTTCATGTGTTTACATTGCCAAAATCTATATCGGGTCAGTACTACAGTAACATCTTGGACATCCCCTGACATAAAACAGTTTAAGGATCCCTGCAAAACTTCATGGCGATGATCCAGACTGAAGACCTGATTACAACAACTCTTTTTAATACAGACTAAACAATGTTTCTCCAATGATAGATTTAAAAAATTGTGGATCCAGATTACACAAGGCAAGATTCTCAGGGTATTTGGCAACAAAGAATCAACTGCACAGCACATTTTGGACCCATGGAAATGTTTGCTTTAACTGAAGTGGTGTCTTTCATAATGTTATGGGTTGTCCTTTATTTTCCAGTCGACACCAGGCTGATGGAGGACAGAAGGGACGCCAGAGGGCTCATTGTTGTCGCTCCATATGGGACAACCAAGCTGATTGTCCACTAGCAGACAGGACATTCAAATAAGATGCAGATTTCACGCGGTTGGATTTACTGAAAACTAGTCTGATACGTCTGATCGCTGAGCCCGAACTACATCTGACACACTAGCTACAGCCGAATAATCACTGAAAGTCGACCCTAACACAACTAGCCTGAACAAACGCAATACAGCCGAAGACTACAGTCCAGTCAAGTCAAGTCAAGTCCACAACAACAATCACACATGAAGAATCGTTACCCTTCTCTTCGTTCCAAGCGACTGGAAGTTTCACCGTATATTCCACTCAACTCTTCGTAAACACAGGAGAACAGCAGCACCGGAGGTGAAGCGACTGTGTCACTATAAATTCACTTTCCTACATAGGAGAAGACGGAGAGTAGCAGCACACTAGCTCCCGCCTTGCCAATCTAATGTCCGTTTAGTTTGTAATTGTGTGGCGCACAAAGCTGCTACCCCCTCCCCCTTTCCCCCCTCCTCCTCCTTTTCCTCCTCCTCCTCCTCCTCCTCCTCCTCTCCTGTGTCAGTCGGACAGCACCACCTCCTGCTGCGGTAGAAAAGGACACACTCCCATTAGTCCACAGAGTGAAACAACTGACAGAACTTCAACCTGGTAGAGGAAAATTCACAACTATCTAACGCCATCAATCGTTCCAGTCTATATATTGTAGACTACATCAAGAATCCACTCAATATTGAGCAGACAATTCTGGTTTCGGACACTTAATAATCGTGTCATTATCACCAACAGTTGTAGAGTCACTCAAGTCAGCGCATTGCATTATGGGATCGCTAGCAGAAAGTAGCATATTAGCCATGGGCACTATTTGTGTGGAAGTTTTGACTGACACACACACACACACACACACAGCACCATAACACTCTATTAAAATGGCGGACAGTTAATATACTGCACTATATACAGGAAGTTATTTGTCAAGACCTTTAAACAGTTCTCTTAAAACACGCAAATTAGCAGTAGCCCCAGACTGTGTCTTACATTTGCGTAATATACAAAAACCGCCAATTACAAAAGCTAAGCTAAATTCACTGTGACTTTTTCGAAAATATATATAGTGATTGGACAACACTCACCACAATTTTGATGGTATTTCCTGGATTCTCATAGACTCCTCCAACATTCTAGATTAAAACAATAATATTAACCTAACCAGTGCCCAAAAATGTATTTGTAATTCCTTTCTCAGGTTGATAGCATGTATTTTTCTCAGCACACAAACGAAGCTGGCGACAGGAAATGACGTAGTTTCGAAAAACGCAATGGCAGGGCCACCAGCTTTGACTATGCATTAAACATGTAAAAACTGTTATCCTACTATATGTGTGTGTTGTTTTAGCATTATTGTGAATGAAAAAATGAATTTTCCACATGCAAAATGTCAACCTTTAATCTCGTTTGTCCTTACCATGGAATTAAACACACTGAAAATATTATTGCTCCATTATGTCTTGTGAAATAATTGTTAGTGCTGCAATTGTGAATTTGTATGCCTTCATGTTGTTTATCTACTGGGTTTCCTTCTTTAGATTACACTTTTACACCTATTGATTCAAATTGCTCACCAAATTCCTCAGAAGAAATTAATGTTTCTTCCCATTTGATTGTGGTTTGTGCATCATTAGGACAATCTATTGAAAGTAGCCCATCACTATAACTAAAGGTTCAGACATACTGTTTTATATTAGGCTATGATTAACTCACAATATCCATGAAGGTACTTGGGAAAAATGTTGTGACCGTTACTTAAATTATTTTTGACCATTTCCAGATTACACTAAAAGGGTCTTTAATTTCTCACTCAAAGCAAATTTATAACCTTTTATGTGTAACATTAAGGTAATGTGAAAATGAATTTGTGTCTTTAGTTTATCCAGTCCTCAGGTTTTAGGCTTATATTATTACACAATGGACCAATTAGTGGCACAGAGCTTTATGGCCGGATTGGTGTGGGTCCTTCAGAAGTTCAGTAAGTTTGTGCAAGAATAAAAAACTATGATGGTGTGTTACCCTGAAGCGGGCCTCTTATTCAGTTATTGCTTCCTTGTGTTATATAATGCATACAGCCTGGAAGAGCTACAGAAACTAGGATATGAGGGATGCTCTTTTCTAGTGGAAACTTGTCAACTGGACAAACTGGCACAGCGCTGAAAATAATTGCAACCAAATGACTTCATTCAACAATTTCAGCAATTTATGTCTGTTTCAAGTTGCTTCGAATTCCTCAGTAAATCTTGCTTGAACCACACACTGTGGAAACCAGAGGAAAAATGAAAGTGAGGCTGGCTCGAGCAAAGGGACTTACCAAAATGGTTACAGTCATTTTTGTGCTCTTTCCCATATTGCACATTAAGTCAGAAACCAATTTCAGCATCCACCAAACAGAACATTAGAAAGGCATTCATGAATGGCACATAGGGAACATCCCCCTTTCCCAAATTAGTATCCTTTCTCCAACTGCCAGTTGTGAAATTCCCAAACCACCTTTAGTGAAGCTCACAAATGAGGCAATTAAATTCAGTTTCAAATGCTTTTGAACTACACCTTCTGCCTGTGTCCTTTAATATTCCAACTGTGGGTTTCCAAAGCTTATCAGGGTTATTTAGGATGGTGGCCTCCCTTTTTACGAGGGACCACCAGCTCGCTCTTTTCTCTGCCATTCATTTTCTGAGGGAGAGAGAAAGAGAGAAATGAACATTTCAGCAAGTGAAATGGCGCCTGTTTGAGAGTCTTCTTTTGGACGGAAATTTCCCATATTTTCAAAAAAGGGATTAGTGCTCTGGATGGCTTTGTTCCAGTTCCTTGTTCTGTCCTATCCCATCTTATCTCCTCTCTTCTCCTGTGTGTAGAAGGTTACCCCTAGATCAAGTTGATTGTGATCCTATTAGCATCTCTCTGACACTGTTCATGTGTTTGTCATGCAACTATGTGCATTAGTTCAGCTACTGTTTAAAAAATAATTCCACAACATTATGTATGCTCTAAATACATAAAAAATATCACTTACAGTCTGATATGTTTAAAGGGCCAAGTAAGGCAGTTTAGCCAACTGAGGTACAAATGATGAGCTAATGAACTGTGGTTATCTGGGAGCACAGAGGAAGATGAAGAAGTCATGAGGGGACATTTGTAACCAGATAATAGGATTTCACAGCATCTGCACTGATCCAATTTATTGCTGCCCTGAGTAACACATGGGTGGAATTTCATCAGCTAATTAGCCATCGACAGATCCTACCTGTGCTTACAAAGACCACTTATACACAGAGCGTTGCTGACACTAAGTGCTTTCACATTTTTACAGGTTTCATATTTTTCTCAGATTTTTTTCTTTATCTTTTTGTGTCATTTTATACCCTCATTATCAAACATATTCAGTGTTTGTATGGGAAAACAATTGAAAGACTGAAAATAGCCTGTCAGAAAAACTGGGAGGGCTGAACCAGGAAGTCCTGTTACACATTTAAATCTGAAATCTTATCAGACACTAAACCACTTCTCTCTGTGGCATTATTTTCATATGAGGAAGAATTTTAAAACTCTTGTGTATGTATCATGGTAGCAAAAATTATACACCAGTCAGCCATAACTTTATGACCACCTGCCTAACACTGTATACATTGGTGTCAATGCAGCAGGTGGTTGGCATTCTTCTCACTCTGAGGCTCACAGGAGATCATGTGTGAATACGTTTGTTACCATATGCTGCCTGAAAGAGCACAAATCTGTCCATCATGTAGGGATAATAATGTTGAAGGAGTGAAAACTGCGGTCATGAGGACAAGTTAGAGATAAATCTTTAGACAAATTCAACAACCTCCCCAATCTAGGTGTGATATCACCACTAGCCTATAGCTGCTGCGTGTTTCTCTTCATAGAGACCAATGTGCAGTAGGCAAGTTCATATTTTCATCCATCTTGACAAGGTTCAAACAGATTTTTATCTTTTGAAAAGTATAAAGGGAATTAGTCAACCTCATCATCAGTGCACTCCATTTACAATATAATACCAGCACTGCTAACATTGAAAAATAATTTATTTCAGAAATGTACTGTGATCATATATTCATTCAGATTTTGTATGATAAGCTTTTGTTGCATACAATGAAATCACCCTACAGAAAAGAAATAGATGATTTTTTTTCCTTTTTTGAATTATGGAAACTAGGAACACACCACTAGGTCTTCACTATAGCTTTGTGAGTGCGCCTGGCAGGTGGCTCGACGGTGCCAACCCTGTGTGGCGTTACTCCAGGCAGGTTTACAGTTGCTGCAGGACAATCTTTTTATAACCACACAGTGAATGATCTGTAAAGCGTACACAGAAAAGTGTAATCACACACACACACACACACACACATCCACACGTACGCACTCATACGCGTTAGTATTTGGGACAATACAGTCACACCCGAATAGTACACAGTGGTTGATTACACAAAAAAAAAAGGGAAAGAGGTGAGGCAATTCAATGACATCATCTCTTGGCACAGGCTCAGTGCTGCTCCATGATAGCAATCAGTGAGAGGGATACGTTATACCAGCAGGGGAGAAAACAGGAACAAATCGTCCTTGTGCCTTATCAAAATCACACTGTTAATATTTGAGCAGGACCAGCAGTTGTGCCCACATGTGACAGTCCCCAGCTACTTCGGACAGCTTTAACCCTCTAATGCTGGATTTTAAAGCAGTAGACATACTGTATGCAGAATGAGACCGATGTGTGTACATGTGAGCTAGCAAAAGAGAAAAAAATATGGCATGTGTATAGCAAATTAATTCACAGCCCACATCTGTCAGGATTAAAAGAAAGGCCCTCATAGCATGAGGCCAGCCATTATGATGCCACAGTCGAGGGCACCGTCAGCAGTTCAGTCACAATCGGTGCCAGATATCATAAATAAGTGTTTCTCTATCAAGGCATCTTAGATCCAAAGTTACACACTCACAAAAAGATTTAACACTTTAACAGATATACACTCATATCTGCAGGATCCTTCAGGCACAGTGCAGTCACTGAAATTTGACCCGCCATGGCCAAATGTTGTCCCTCTTTTCTATGTGTGCTGTAGACCAGAGAGCTGTTTCGATGGAAACACATGATTGTTTCTCCAATGTCTCCTTAAAACTCTCTGGGCAAACACGTTAACATTTGTTTGATTTGGCATGAATTCCACATCCATAACTGTCTGTTATCGCTTCCTTTTTTTGTTTTTGTTTTTACATCCAGCTAATCCGATCCAAACAAACACTTGTCCTTTCACTTCCACAATATGGCTCCATCATACTGTTACTGTATATCAGTCTCCATTAGTGCACAGTCTGCACTGACTGGTTTTGTCTTCTAGGTACAGCTATTATATATATATATATATATATATACTTGTATGCAGGTGTGTTTTTTCAAAGACTCTAGTGACTTTGTACAGAATCAAAGAGATTATCATTTGATTGTTGTCCAAAAATGTAACAAGAAAGGAGGAAAGAAATGATAAGAAAAGGACATGCAAATAGTTCAAAGAGCTAAATTAAAAGTGAATAGATGTTGCAGAGTATTTCATCAGCTAGTGCGAGAAATCAAACATTACACTGGCACACTTTCACGCATTAAACAAAAAAGTCCTCCAAAAAGTCTCATAGTGTTGTTCCACATGTATCCAGGCTGACTGAAGAAAATAATATGTAAGAATAAAAAAAGAAAAGTAATGAAAAGACAGGCACAAATGACTTGATTGGGCTGACTGCGCATTATGCAATGCTATGGTCTCCTTCAACGCAAGTTGGGTAGATATTTCCAGAAATCTCTATGTCCTTTTCAGCATTTTTCACACAAAGGAAGAGAAGCCAGCAATGGGGGCCCGTGAGCCAGGGGCTAGGCTGCTGGGGGGCCTGTAGAGGGTGTTGTGCTGGCTGGGGGGGTTGGAGCACTGCTGAGAGGGAGTGGGAGTCCGGCTACCTTTGGGCCTAAACAGACTGCCCTGGCCCTGGGGCTGGCCCTGGGCCTGCTGAGGCTGGGGGCTGGGCGAACTGAGCTGTGGTGGCAGCGGTGGTAGTGGAGGCAGCGGCGGTGGGGCACAGTGATCCGGGTCACCCGAATCAGACTCGGTGTAGCTGTAGGCCTGTGCTCGGGATATGCCTTTCTGTTGGCGGCGCCATGAGTTGTAGTAAGTGGGGTCACTTATGTAGTGGTTGACAAAGGAGTGGGTCTTCTGTCGATTGGGGTCCACCTCGTACTCACTGTCACTGCCCT